ATATAATCAACAGGCCCACTTGTACCCCTTGCCCCCACTTCACAAGGAGGGACTCTCCACCGTCTATCTGAGGCACAGTGGTCTCCCTCGGACATAGGCTCTCCCTTATAATGACCGCTACCCCACCGCCCCTACCCCGGGTCCTTGGCTGATGGAATACCTGGAAACCCGGTGGGCAAATATCAACGAGGGGCACTCCTCCTTCCGTGCCCAGCCAGGTCTCGGTGATACCTGCCAGGTCCGCACCCCCCTCTTGAATAAGATCTTGGATGAGGGGGGCCTTATTTACCACGGACCTGGCGTTGCATAACATCAGCCGGTGATCCCGGGCCCGAGGATCTAAGATCCCTGGGGGTGCTTCAACAGTTACGGTGTTATCTCTTTGTGGACAACCAGCCCAGATTTGGGCATTCCACAGCTACACTTAATAGGTAGCTATGGCTGGAATTCCAGCTGCCCAGTTCCACTTAATGCACCAGCTATGGGCCAACCTGGAATAGGAGGATGTTGCAATGGGAACTCATAGCCTTAATACCACCCATTAAGATACTAAATTCTACATGGAGAACATACTTCTGACATGAACTCCTGAGTTGTCCCAACTTAATGCCATCCAAGGAGAAATTAATATCCCCAGGGACTATAAGCCTTATGTTTTTTTGTACCAGCCTGGCAATAGAATCTTGGAGTTGTGGCATGGATGTTGCTACATAACAGGGAGACCAGTATTTGCTAACCACCAAGATATACAGATGATTGGGACACACATATATGCAGCTGTTTATTGTGGAAATTTATAAATTCAATTTGTAAAACAGGCTATGTAACATATTACTAGGTATAATTATTGCTACTTATACAAGATAAGCCAGATAAGCAATTGTGGAGGAATCCACAGGCTATTAGAGAAACAGCAGGTGCAGAAGAAACATAGATAATCCTCGACTTATGACCAGAATTGGGGAAATTTCCATCAAAAGTCATTGCAGTTGTAATTTGACTTGGATTTTACAACAATTTCTACAGTGGTCATTAAGCAAATCACTGCATCATTAACTGAATCCAGCTTCCCCAATCAGCAAAACAAAAAAATGCAAATCATAAGAACATGACTGCAGGACACTGCAACTAACTGTAAATGTGAGTTGGTGTCTGAATTATGATTACATGACTGTGGGGTTGGTGTGATAGTCCTGAGTGTGAATATAGGTCACAGTCACTGTTTTTGACACCCTTGTAATTTCAATGACTTACAACCATTTCAAGAAATGGTCATAAATCGAGGACTACCTGTATGAAAAGTCTCAGAGAGGAAGGAAAATATTATATAAAAACTCAGACTCACTCTCCCCCCCCCCAACTCCCTGGGCAATAAAAATATGGACTTGCAAAATTTTATTCTTATAGCCTATCTCAAAAAAATATAATTCTAGGCTTCCTGTGGAGTCTGTTTCCTAACCTGATCAACCTTGAAAGGCAGTCACCAATAGTGTCTGAACAAGGTAAAATCAGTTGCTTTAAACACATAAACACAAAAAGAAATACAAATTCATAAGTGCAAATACTCTTTCTTCACAAGACAACATAAATGGTTATTGCAGTTTGGTTTTTGAATATATAAATTACAATTCCCCTTAAAATGCCCATTCAGTACAGGTTTTTGCTTAAGACAGCTATCTTTAACTCAGTGATGGGTCAAGATTACACCTCAATATCTATTAGCTATGCATTAATTTGAGGAAATCAACTACCAGCTGCTATGTATAGATAAGGAAGGAACAGCAAGAAACAGCAATATTTGAATAATGTAATACAATAATCTCAACAAAACAGTAAGTAATAAAACTGAAGTGGTATTTTTGAAGTTGTTCTATTTATAACATTTTCCCAGCCTCCCTCCCACTTTTTAATGATTATCATGATTATGAATTTTAAAATTATATTGCTTATGCTATTGTAATTACCTATAGTTTTCCATGTGAATTAGCTTAGAATATCACAAAATTTTACAGATGCATTCCATAATTAAAAAAGAGCACTTGGAAGAAAAATTTATTATTTATTTAACAAGGTTAAATAATTTTTAAAACATTTTTCTTTCCAAGTACTTGTTAAAGAGGAAAGAATACCATATGTGGATGGAATTCAAAATAAACTGATCTTAAGAATATGCAGAGGGAGAAAGGGAGGAAAGGGGGATGAGAAAGAGAAAGTATGTGAAAATGAATATAATACCTGCATCAAACTCAAATTCTGCTCCATCAGCACTTGTGTCACTTTGAAGTCCTCCTACATTGTCCAAACCAAAGCCATTCTCTTGCTCCTGATGTACAGTTGACTGGAGTTTTATTGGCTGAGTTGGTCTGTGTAAACTTACCCCTTTGAAGGCTGGGGTCACCACAATGAACTTCATCCACTGCCTTGCTAATGCAATGAGACCTTTTTTTAATGTCACCAGAGCAGGAAGGCCATCACTCTAGAATACAAACACATATCCAGGACATTCTAAAATCCAGACTCCAAAAGGCGACCCCCTTACATATCATCACATGCAAATTTGCTTGCAAATAAGTTTATCCAAGTTTTCTTATTCACTCCTACAATTTAGATTCTGGGTTTTTTAAATGTTCAAGTTATTTAATAAAGGATAAGTCCTTTCCTTTTTTTCTTTTTAGTTGTTGCCTATTTTTTGCTCTATTTTTATCTCCTCTCTCTCTCTCTCTCTCTCTCTCTCTCTCTCTCTCTCTCTCTCTCTCTCTCTCTTTGTTAACATGTATAAAAAATAAGTATAAATCACTGGAAATCTTAGCATTAAGTAATCACCTTAAGATAGAAACCTTTATTGTGCAACAAATATTTTGATATACTTTGCAGCTGTTAATGTTCTTGGATGTAATAGCTAATCTTGTGCTTATTAATATCAACATTTTAAATCACAATAAAAAATGATAAAACTTAAGACTATTAAAAAGAAAAAAGAAAACATTAGAATGTTTATGTAGTGTTGACTATATTAGAGTGTAGTCAACACTACATAAATACCACTATATCAAAATAATATATACATATTTCTTATAACAATAAAATAAAACAAATTTAAAACATTTGGTTGATCAGAAACACAATAAAATACTCATTTTTGTGCTTATAATAAAATAAAATATTTTACATATGTACGGGTTTTCTGAACTTATTAACAATGCTTCTTTGTTAAGTCTCTATTCTGTTTTGTTTCTTTGATTTCTGCTTTTCTTTGGATGCTGCCAGTGTTTGTTATTAGGAATAAGCATTATTATTATTGTTGTTAAATAGCCAGATTATGTCACAAGAGTTTTATACAAATTTTAATAGAAATTGCAATTAGTAAAGAATATTTTATAAATATATAACACAGTACAAAAGAGCTCTCCTATTTTAGTATTTTTTTAATCAGACCATATTCTTAAGCAGTAACTTACCATGGTTGCTTCCTCAATGATGGAAAAAGTTGCTTGATGAAGATAATGATGAAGTATATTGCATAACAGACAGGAAGGATTTTCTTGTAGATAACGAGATAATCTTGTGAGCTTGTTGTACTTGCTTCTCAAAGGAAAGTGAACACTTTTATTCTGAATATATAAAAGCAATTAGTTGTATCATTCAATATTATTTCACAATCTAATATTTCAGCTAATATACACACATGCTAACAGTCTATTTTTACTGAAAAACTAAATACAGATTTAGAATTTTATTAATTTTTATGATCACCCTTTCATAATATTATATTGTTGTGGTGTGTGGCTTTCAAAACTAAAGATTAAGAAATGGGGTTTAAGGGGAACAACAGTCTGTGTCTGATAAAGATAACAATGTATTTCACAGAGATATTATATCTTTTGCTTGCTAAATCGTTTTTTTAATCTTTTCCAACCTGGCTGCTGGTCACCTTCTCTTTCTCTTCATTTTTCCCAGTATCGTACACATCTCAAGAGAGTTAGGTCTTTGCATAATATATCCAAACTCTTTATCTTAATAATACTTACTTCTAAGGCTTCTGTCATTATACATCCCATGACAGCACAAACACGCAAGGTTCCCTCAGTTTCTAATTTGTTTAAAGAAGACTTTACTTGATCAATAGGAACAAGCCAAGCACCAATGGCTGGAGTTGCAGTACTCAGAAGATTCAGTTGCCTACAAAATTAGAAAAAAACTTAATTATAAAACAGTTGAATATGCAAGGGAAATTGAACATCAGTTACATAATTTTATACATATTCTTTAATATCCATAGTAATCTATAACTGTACAAGGAATTCATTTAAATATCATGGGATCCTTCTTCCTCTCTGAGCTTGGTTGCTTTCTTGCAGACGTTTCATTACAAAACTAGGTAAAATCATCAGTCAACAATTTGTGTACCTTCATAGAAATATTAATCACCATAACAATTTTCAATTTTCATTTGTACATATAGGATAGCAAATGTAGGGTTAGGTAACTCAGTATGTATAAATGCCAATATTTCTATTATGTCCATTGCAATCAAGGACAAAACTGAGACTAAAAGAGTTTGGAGTAAAAATATTTAAAAATAGTAAAAAAGTAAAAGTATCACAATTCGCATGGTTATACACAAGGTTAATTTCAATTACAGAGACATATTAATAATGAGGTCTTAGGGAAAATAGCACACTCCACACTTTGGAATAAAAAGTTACCACTCTGAATCATTCAAGTATTTAAAAGCAACAATATCTGAATTTTTATCCTAACCATAACAAACACAAAAAAGATTGCACTTTTTAAAGAATTTTAAAAAATTAAAACTATATCTACTAACATGAGTATTCCAATTTGTAATTTTAGCCTACTTTTGTTCTTATTCAGCAACAAATTCTAAAAATGTGTCTATTTAGTTACATAAAATATATTTTAGGTAGAAATGCCTAATGCACATTCTCAAAAAATGTTGATATCTACTATAAATTAAAAATACACAATGAACCCCATAAATTATTTTTTTATGAATTTATATCTGCAGTCCATGTAGATTTTAGATGCTTTATACATCAGGCAATAAATATGTACTACAGGCCATTACCAAAGTTCAAATAATGTGAAACAGAATCCAACACACCTTGAAAATATATGGGCAGGTGAACGAACATTTGTTGGAGCTGCAAAACTGAACCAGATTTCTTTCATTGTCAGTTTCATGCTACAAGAATCAGGTGGGGGAGGCCTTAAAGGATGGTCCTTTTTTAGTTCATCAGATTCAACCCCTTCATCCTAAACAGCAGAAATAAAGATCAAATGGTGCAATATTAGTCCATAGTGGATGGTTTAAGGTTTCTTAAATTTCTTTTTAAGATGTAAGCTGATTGTGTCACCTGCAAAAATAAAAAGGAATAAGACTTTTTCTTATCAAAATATGAACATGCACACAAATTACATATTTTCCCAGAGAAGTGAATCAAATTGAAAAGCAGCTTAATTTAGCAAATAGGAAAATATTTTTACTATCTACAGAAGTAACAGCT